AACGAAAGAGATGCAGTGATTTCAGACCTCAAAGAAAACAAGTTCGTAGTTGTTTAGAAACAGCAACACTAATGTTTTAACTCAGGAAGAGTTTAGAAACCGACGTTTGGTGCAAAAACCAGGAGGTTTTCAATGGGGTTCACTGCAGTGAGCTCTTTGTTTTTTCTGAACTGTATTTAAAAAAATAAACATTTTTCAAAATGACATCTGGAATTAAATATTTTTTAGATCAGTTATGATTTGCAAAAATATTTAAATTTGCTAAAGGCCAGAAAAGTAACTGAGATATTTCCTCCTAAGCTTCCTTCCAGGTCATAAGTTTACATACACTAAGATTACTACTGTTATAGTACTTATTTAATTTCCATTCGGAATCAATAAAGTATTTTTGAATTGAATTTGTACTGACAGGTTGATGATGAAGTTTCTTTGTTAGCTTCTGATACAACAACATTAAAATAGCTTCATAATAAACAACCTTTGTGTTAACTGGATTCTCACCTGTGGATCCGTTTAAAGTAAAATCAGGAAGAAAATAGTAGAACTTCACAAATCTGGTTCGTCTTTGGGGACAATGTGACGTTTCTGTGGTCACATGCAAGTATAAACACCAGGAGGATGAGGAAGGGTGAGGAAGAAGCCATTCAGAAGCAACATAAAGTCAGATTGCAGTTTGCAAAAGCACTGAGGGACAAAGATCTTATTTTTAGAGACATGTCCTGTGGTCTGATGGAAAAAACAAATGAAGCATTTGGTCATAATGATCATCATTACATCTGGAGGGAGAAAAGGGAAGCAGGCCTGAGAAAAGCATCCCAGCTGTGAAGTACAGCGGTGGCAGCATCATGTGGCTGTTTTACTAGTGCGCTTGACATCATGACCACAAAACATCCTGTGGAAACTTTGAAGCAACATCTCAAGACATCAGCAGGAAAGTTAAAGTTTGGGCAAGGCCTGTCACAATTAGCAACATATCAAATACCTGCGTTATAAATTCTCTTTTCTCTCTTTCTGCCTAAAACTGGGAGATAAAGTCTTCAATTGTTTCAACTAGCAACTATTTTGAAGGACGGTTTTGTTTACAGAGGCCATATCATGAATTTTGTTTGTTGTTTCTGTTGTTTTGTTTGTTTTTGGATATTTAAAATGTTTTCGGCTCCAGTGTTAAATATTCATTAGAAGTAAAAGTTTATTGGTCTTTAAAGATGTATTCCTGCATTACCATTGAAGCCTTAATAATAAGCAATTAATCAGTTAATCACATTTTAAATTAAAATGAACTCAATAACTTACGCTCTATGGTTACTACTTTTGAAGGGCAATTTTGTTTAGACCTCATAATCCATTTTATTCATGGTTTCAGTGTGATTTTTATTTTCCTTTTATTATCTGTTTTTGCTTTTTGTGTTTTATTTATCTGGTTCCAGTTTGGAGGGTTCTTCACAAAATTAAAGTTTATTGGTCTTTGAGAGGGTGAATTTACATTGCTATGCCATTATTAATAAATTAATCGAAAATATTCTCAAAACAATAATATTATCAAGTACCGGGACAATTTGTTGTCCAGCTAAATTTAACTTCAAACCTGACTCAGTTACACCAGTTCTGACAGGAATAACAACAAATGTTACAATAATTCATGAAAACTTTTGAATTTTAATCTTTAAGATGAAGTCAATGGTGCTAAAGTGTTGATGGAAATGAAACAAATCTTTGTCCTTTGAATGAAAGCAGTCATTAAATAAATTATTTCTGTTTACACAGAACACATTTGGTTATGTTTAAGTATAAATATTGATCCTAATATTACAGAATGACCATGTTCTGTTTAATTTTTATTTGTATTGGCGCTTTAACGTGATCTGAAAGTGTGCACAGCGAGAACGCGAGCGTTGTTGGTGTGTTGATGGCAGATTCTCTGAAATCTGCATCAGGTTTATAACAGATGAACTCTGTAATGTTATGAAATGTTACACTGGTTATGTTATTTACTGTAGTTCTGTATTCCTCAACACTTTAAAAGCTTTTATGAAGCCGTCAACAAACAGATTGCACAGCAGGGATTTTACTTGAAGCTGATCAAAGTGATGCAGTCCACATGTTTACATACCACAACTTGGCATTGTATCAACTCCACAACTTTAACCTTTTAGATATTTTTCTGCAGGTAATTAGACAAATAAAACAATCATACAGGCTTCGGTGGTTTCTGTAGAGACAAACCCAGAGTCTCTGTTACTGTTTAAGGGGTATACTTTATATTTTTTATCTTGAGTAAATGTGATAAAGTTAACAACCAGTTTTATCACTGTCTGCTTATCTTTCCTCACTTCATATATCAGGTGTGTAGTAAGACTGGATTGGAGGATAACAGTATTTTTTTATTAGTGTGCACTTGACAGGTTTACAAATGTTGAACTACAGATCAGATAGTGTCCTGGTGCCGTTACACACAGATGGCACATTAAATCACTTAATTGATTCGTTTAAAAGAGTGTTTGGGCCATAATGCTTTTCAACTCACAGTACTATGAAAAAAAAACAAAACAATTTTTTACCTGTCAAAGGTTTGAAACCTCAACATGTTCAGCTGTCAGTAGCACCTAAACTTTTTATTATTCAAAATCTTACAAAGTTGATGAAATCCACCGGTTTCAGTAACACGAATGTCTGGATTTGGGAAACTACCTGCTTCGCTCTGCATCAATTACAGCCGACGTTTAAGAAACTTGTTTTATTTGTTTGGTTATATTGAAACTATGAACCAACATCCGACTCCAACCAGATGTGATCATAACGCACATATGATGTATTTTGTTCAGCAAGCTGAAGCTTTAGATGCTGTTTATTCAAGAGCATTTATCTCTGTGAGTCTTGTTCTGCTGATGGATCCTGTATTGGGTGACACTTTATTTGAAGGAGTGTCCATAAAACTGACAAACACGACAGAGCCATGACCTGGAGCATTCATGACTATTTATGATTGTTTATGTCATTTGGGAAATAACATTTGTAATGCAAAGATTCATTAAAGGTTGCATTAAAAATGTCAGTTTTGCTTTACTTGGTGAGTAAAGACACTTTTAAAGCAAAGTTGCATTAAGAGTCCATTAAAAATTTTAAATTTGAATGAGAAGTGCCGTTATTTACAGAATGGCACTTCGTGACAACAATCATAAACATTTATGAAGACTCATTCTTGTTCTTGACAGGTGTTAAGTCAAACAAAGTGTTACCCTGTATGATATTTCCCCTCTGTAGGAACAGTTTAATATGGGCAGACAAATATAATACCATGAAAACTGGCAGAAACAGACATTTTCGTCATTGATATATATATATAAGAAAAATGCTAAACTTTTGCTTGGTTTTATTCTAGAAAGCAAATGCAAGCTAGTTTTGTTATGAAACTGAATGCTTTTGGTCTTCAGAGGCAGCAGGAAATGTTGGAGGAGTTCAGGCTGCTGAGTCAGCCTTCACATTTCCTACAGAGAAGCTCATTAATCTTCCACGTACCTTCTTCTGTCAGCCATCCAGTCCGCTGCCACTCGATCACTTCCTGATCCTGCTTCACAAACATTCCCATCCCTCATGGAACCAACGCTCTACTTGCTGTTACTTTTTCTGATTAATCTATCAGGAAAGTCTGATTAATTATTACTTGTTCAACAATTGGGGTAACTATATTTTCCTTTATTCACTTTAATCAAGCAAGTATGCTGCATATAGCAAACGTCAATTTAATGCCTTGAAATTGGTCTCTGTCTCTTTAAGAAGCTCCTGCTCTTTCCAAAACAGCATGTCTCCATAACAATGCTCCTCCATTATGCCGTTTAAAACCGTTCTTAGGAGCGTTGGACTGTGAAGGAGTTTGTAAGCTCAGTAGATTTGCTGTTCCTCCAGGTGTAATACTTAATACCACCCCTTTAAATATGCCCACATTTTCCATTATAGGTCCAAAATGTTATTTAGTTACATAAATATGTGTTCATTAATTTGTTGCTTCTGGCATCAAATTTATTTACATTTCTAGGATTTTTAAAAATGTTTAAAGTCATACGATTGAAACTAATCAATATTGCTCTACTAGTTGATGGGAAAGTGTGAGTGTTATGAGGATTACCTATAAAGTAAGGAATTTTAATAGTTGGATAAAATAACTATTATTTGTGCAACTCATAGAAATCTTGACTTTCTTTTAAATTTCTTAAATATAACTTTCATCCCTTGGAGATACTTTTTTTTTGTGAGTTTACATGGTATGATTGCGCTGCTTCAGAGTTTCCACCCTGCGAATTTTTAACTGTGTTGGTTAATCTGAGGTGATAAATAGAAATATTCTTTATTGGCCCACAATGGGGACATTTCTATACAATAAAAGCAAACAAACTCACATAAAGACAGAATGAACTGCAGTTCTGAAGAATGTAAAGGATCTGCACAATATGCATGTATCTTTGAGCACTAAAAGAGTACTCAGAAATAATAACAATGAAAAACTGTGCAACGTTGATGTTGTACAGATAACGGCATGTAAATTAACACATACTGAGTTTGTGGAGAGCCGTGATGGTTGCAAAGTCTAACATCTGCTGGGTGGAAGGATCTCCTACAAAAAAAGGACTTTCATCCCAAACTGCTTAAAATGTTCCCCATTTATTTGTTCTTTAAGAGTTAAAACTGTAGAGACACAAGGTGTTCACCCAGCAGTAAGAATCTGCTGGGGTGTTCGTTTATTTAATTTCATTCTGACTGCCAGAGACTGCAGCTGGCTAGCTAAGTGTTTTGCCATTAAGGCTCTGTTCTGCGCTTAATTCCTCTACAGAGCAGAGGCTTGTGGGTATAATGACAGCCGGCAGACTGCCTACTCTACAGTAAATGTTTACCATCTTGTGTGTTGCCTTGAAAATAAGCAAACAGCCCCTCTGTGATCTCTTTAATTAAGCTAATGGATGTAGTTGCGTGACCTTTGATCCCTCCTTTTTCCTGTCCATGTGCAGATTTATAATGAGAAGAAGAGCCAGTTTGAAATCAAGAGAAACAACCCCAAGGATCTGGTGGAGCGAGTGGCGCGGGACATCTCCAAGCTGCTAAACAGCAAGAGCAAAGCCTTAGAGGTAAGAGACCCCTCACCTGTCTGCAAGCTGATGCCATGCCTCACTTCCCACATGCATGATGGACTCTTTGAAATGTTCAGTTGCTTTTCATACAAATAAGGATAATTTGTCTGTTTCAACAACAAAGACAAAAGGAAAATGCCAAGAAGCAGTCTGAGCCGCTGTGTTTACCTGCAGCGATTTAACGTCAAGGTTTCCAGTAACCTTAAAAGCTGTGTGTACCTTCACTTTAAATATACACACACACACACACACACACACACACACACACACACACACACACACACACACACACACACATATATATATATATCTAATCCAGATTCTTAGATTGAGTAACACAACTCTGTCTCTTAACTGTCTTTGTTCCTCCTCATGTGAAGAGTGTCACTGTTTTGTAAATGTAACTAGTCATGAACCATGAACACATCTAGATGGGCGTTTTTAATTATTTACAGATTCTGAAAATTTGAATTCTAAGCTCTTCAATTATATAAAACACGTGGAAATCAAAATATTTTTTTCTACAAATGTTGTGTGGTCTGATATTGTTTTAGGGCTGTTTGTAATTTAGAAGCAAACATACACATTCTCTTTTAGCCAGTAGGTAGCCCAATGTAAATAATTTTATTTTAGGTGTTAAGATGCAGTTAGTCAGCGTGGGGCGCAGTTTGGCGCAGTGCTGTTCACCGCCTAGTCACTGTCACATTGCATTCAGCACAGCCACAGACCAAGATCTGCATGACCCTGACATGCTGCGTAACATAAGAGTGTTAAAAAAAACAAGTTTTGCAACTCAACTCAAAAACTTTCCACCTTTTTCTTCAGCTGTTCTTTTCAATGTCCTGGTCTTAAGTCATTTATCCATTATTACTTTTAAACACAATCCTTTGGTAAGCTAGCTGTAGAGTCGCACTTGGCAAGTAAACGTTTGTCTACATAAAGTACCTCGTGGACCGCTAGAGGGCGCACATAGACCACAATTAGAGAAAGACTGCTATAAACCCAAAAGACAGCATAAAAATGAAGCTTAGCCAAATATTTTGGATATTTTTGGCTAAAACAAGGAGAGTTGTTACTTCCTACCTAATATAAAACATTTAGTGTGACTTTATATCAGAAGAAAATGTTCTGCTTTAAGTTGAGGTACACAGTATTGATCACTGATCACTGAAGATTTTCATCAAACAGTATCTGTCCATTTTGTTGAAGGTTGTACTGCTGCTTTAAACAGGTATGTTCATATTAAAAGCAGAAAACATTAGGATGTTTTTCCTCTCAATTAAACAAAATATATACATATATATAATTTTATGCTATTACCTCTCTCATTTAATTCTGCATCAGTTTAGCGTTTTTCCCATGTCTTTTATTAAAATAATACATTCTACTGAGGCTGTGCCTGAGAAGGTTATCATTTCAGTGTCTTGTGTTTTGCTGTATAATTATTGCTACTGTTATGCTCAGCCAGGCCCTGTGATTAGCTAAAAATGCATTTCGGTCTCTCAGCTGGAAATCTCTCACTGCTCTGAGAGAAAAGGTGGGGATACAGTTTCAGGAAGAATGAGTGACATGAAGGGAAATGAGAAAAGTACAAACAATCAATTTTTAATTTTAGAAATCGAGGGAGAAAGTAGAGGAGCTCTAATTGGGAAGAACAGCATTACAAATTCAGCTGACACCATAACATCTCGTCCCTTCTCTCTACAATGGCAGATGATGGATGCTGTTGTATTTATATCTGTATATCAATCAATGTACAGTTCCTTGCAAAATTATTAATACCCTTTTAACCTTTTTAGAGTTTTAGGTGATAAACCAATACAAAGTAATCATGAAATGTGAAGTGGAGGAATAAAGACGCAAGGTATTCAAACCCTTTTTCAAATTAAATCACAACATTCTTAGCCACTTTTACTTTGATAATCCCAAACAAAATGCAGTGCAAATAATTATTTTCAAAAGACACATAATTGTAGCGTCCACATGTTTGTCTGTCCCGAGAAAGTCTGAGAACCATGAAGATCAAGAAACACTGCTGGCAGACATAGAGAAAGTTGTGAAGAGGTTTGTAGTCGTATTAAATCATAAAATAATATACAATGTTTCGAACATCTCACTGTTTAATCTATCATCCAAAAATTAAACAGCACTGCTGGAAACCCAACAAAACATGTTGGTCCACATAAACGGAGAGTGCTGACAAGGAGTGTGTTTTATTACAGAAGCAGAAAGAGATCTGTGAAAATGAACAATAACATCAATATTAACAACAGCAGTCATCAATTAGTTGTGCAGTAAAATATCTATAAATAGTCCTGTTTGCAGTTTGCTACAACCGCCTGAGACTCGGCAAACTTGAGAAAAATGTAACATTTTGTGTATATGCAAGACGCTACATGTTGCTGAAAATGTACAATGCATATCGCCCTGATAGTGAAGGTAAATGCAAGGTGATCGATGTTAAATGCTTCAAAACACATGAGGCTAACCCCGGATTTACACCACATGCAGCTGCGCTCTGGTGCGCACTTCACCGGCATTCATTGCCACTCTGTCTTACACTACGTGTGACTCCGGTCCGTTTTAAAGCCCAGAGGTGCTCCGAAAAGCATGTGGGGGGAAATTAAAGATTGTGCAATACAGTCAGTGACAATAAGAATGAGTGGTGTCATAAAATACTGCAATTCTCAACTTCAAAAATTAATATTTCTTTGTTCATTTCCCTCTCGCTTCGTCTACCTTTGACGATGTTGCTCGTTGCTCCTTTGACGAATGCTGTGTTTGTTTATTTTCCTGTTGGTCCAGTGTGATCTTTGTAGATTTGACTCTGATGTTCTAATTTTGCCCTGTAAACAGGGTAAATTTTAAGGAAGTTTCACCTTGCAGCAGAACAACAATAATACACATACATGGTTTAGATCAAAGCTTAGTTAGTCATTAGTTGGCAATTGCTACTCACAGATGAGCTTGAGTTATTTCACAGACATTTTTGTCTCTAGATGGACAAACCTGGTAGAGAAGGTTTTATGTTAGAATTATTTGTGGTTTAATGATAGTTCATCATATAAAATCCCATTCAAATGCATCAAGATTTGTGGTTGTTCAATGAAAACAAGCAAAAACAGTGACATATTTTACAAAGCAGTATGTTAACTTCTGCATCCAGTGCTTATGTGTCACAAAGCTGTATTATTTTCCTACTGAGCTGTTTTGAATTCTACATGCATGAGTATAAAAATGTGTACAGATACATTTGCAGCTGTATCAGTGTATGCATAAAAAAGATCTGTCCACTTTTCTTCCTTTTTGTTTCTGCTTTAGTATGACCACTCAAGCCAAAGCAGTATTTTTATAGCACAGGTTTAAAGCCTCATAAAGGAGCAGAAGTGTATATCTTTCAGGAGCACCAGGCCATGTGGGATAAAACGAGGCATATTCACAGTAAGGAGCATGAGTCTGTGAAAAGCATACTTAATTCTTGAATCCCTAAAGTAAAAGAAGGCGTCCCTTCTCATGTCTCTTGGCCAACTTTGGGATTAGATTTGGAATGGCAGTGACCATCTATGTGAACATTTCTCTTTTTACTAACTTTTTTCTCCGGTTTTCACCTCCTCCGACTTCTTGAATATACACACAGTCACATGCAAACGATCCAACCGCCACACCTTTACCTCCACAGTGTCACCTTACATCCTGTCTGGGAGATTCAGACTCGAGGGGCGAGAGGAAATGGGGTGAGAAAAAAGGAGACCTGGAATGAGAATGTCTCCCTGGGGCATGGGAAAGAAAATCAAGAAATTGATGTTAAAAATGAGCAGCAGGCGGGATGGAAAGAGGGGGAAAGAGAGGCAGAAAGAAAAAAAAAACATCACAGGGGAGTAACCAATTTAACAAAAATCACCAATAAAAGTACAAAAATTATTCAACAAATCAATATTTAATTGAACCTGGTTGCGATTTTCTTTTATTTTTACTCCAGCTGAATATTTAAGGCTGCAGGCAAATATATTTATGTGGAATTATTATTCATTCAAGGAGGAAAAGTGAAAGCCATGTCTTAATGCAGTTTGTAGATAAGAAGGTCTCACACTCTCCTCGGCTCAGTATTGACAGTGTTTTATATTCCAGGCAGTTTCTGTGCCCTGTAATGGTTATTTAGTCCCCCAAAATTTCCTGAGACACATTTAAGAAAGGGGAATGTGTGTGTGTGTGTGTGTGTGTGTGTGTGTGTGTGTGTGTGTGTGTGTGTGTGTTTGTAGACGGTGTTTGAAAGCACGAAGGAAATAAATTACTCTTCTGCAACCTATTTTTTTTGCTCCTTCGGGTGGTTCTTTGTAATCCATGTTTATATTACTAATGAGGAAATACACATTGACTCTAGACTCTAGTGACTGATTTATAGTGGAAATATTTCTCCATGTTCCAGATTTAGATGATTTAGTCCCTCATTTTTTTAATTAGTAGAACGTTTTATTCATTTAAAAGCTCTTTTTCCTCCCGCAGTTCAAATTGAAAAAGGTTTTCATTTTTTTTAGTTTGTTTTCTTTGGCTACTCTGTCCAGCTCTTTCATCAGAATACAATTTATTGCAGCTATTAATGCACATTATTTTTGTGCTGTATATTTAAGCTGTAATCTCAACATTTATTGTAATCAACAGATTGATCCACAAAGCCATGTGTAAGGTGTCATTGCACTCGACGCAGCCCTCGTTCTAAAAATGGAAACCCCATAATCTGACTTACTGCTCATCAAAAGTTGAGCCACTATTTGTTCTCCTTCTTTCCTTTTCTTAATCTCCCCCACTCTGCGTCCATGTTCACTCTTCTTCCTTTCTTGCCTCTGGCTTTAGTCGTCTTAAACAATGATCTGATTCTGCAGTCGGTGCCAAAATTAAAACGCTGCATAAACTGCCACTGGCTGAAACACTTGCAAGTTGCCAATGGATATTTACTGTGAAATCTCTTTGATTTTTCTCTGATCAGTTTCAGGAAACAA